TAGCCGTTTTCCTGGTACATTTTATTTTGTAAGCCCTACCTGTGTGGAGGAAGTTTAACTGACAGTAAAGTAAAGTATAATTGTGCCTACCCCCCGAAGATGATGTAATTTATTTGTTTATTCCAACCTATTGTGGAAGGTACTCTGTATAGTTTTCCTTTAGAAAACAAACATGAATGTAAGAATGCTGATAAAACCCTAAATTGTTGCTATAAGAGAGCCAAATGGCTGTGGTATTCTACTGCTCCTCAGACACATTCTGGTTTGTGTTCTCATCCGAATATGGTTTTGATTAAGTAATGAAATTACAGTAACAAATCTTATCTAAGTTGCTTGATACTAATGATGTACACTTCATTGCATATACACCTTAGATCAAAGATAATCAAAGTTCAGATTAGTAAAATGGGGCATAGAACTTATGGAGTTGGATATGTCAAGATTGACAAGGTTCACTGTTTTTTGGTTTTTTTTACTTAAACGTTAGTCTTTTGATTGTAACATGTTTGTGTTTTGAGGGTTGAGCATGAGTTTTAAGTCTTTGATGTGTTATCCCGCTGCTTGTGTGAGAAAATAGTAGTTTAAACTGTTCATTTTTTTTCATATGAATAATTATTTTGGGTTTTTTTTGAGGCAGGATAGTCAAGAGAATTTATTCCTTATTCTATAGGCATAGGAATAAGCACCTAGACATCTTGTCTGACAAGACAATTTTGGGCTATCTATATCATTACTGTGTGGTCAGCTGTGCCATTAATCTAGACAAAGATGATTACTGGAATGGATTTTGTCTGCAGAAACTTGTGGGGGATGGTTGATAACATGACACTTCCTGACACCATTTATAAAGGTGTTGCATTATGTGGGTGGGATGAGATTGGCCTATGATCAATTTACTTTTCTGAAAAGAACAAGTCATTAGAAAGAAGTGGTGCTGCAAATATGGAGAGAATATTTTTAGAAGGGGAATATTTTTTATGCACAAGGAGTGCTCCAAAGCTGATGATATGAAGGGCAATTGAATAAGATACCTGGATAAGGCTTTTCTACACTGAACTTTCAAAACTTTAAAGAGACTGCTCAGAGATGGAGGACTGACTGAAGAAGATGGTCATTCTGTCCCTGGGACTGTGGCTCCTGTGGCTCATGCAGAGACAAGAACTGTGTGTCCAAGTGACAGAGACTCGTGAGATACACACCTGCAGGTCTCTGGCTTGGTGGTGTAGCAGTGAATTGGTCCCAGTGGGACTAATATTCTGTAGGTAAATTGGAAAGAGAAAGCTTTGCTCACAAGGCTCAGGGGCAGCCCAAGGACATTGCAGTAGTGACTGGAGTAAATATGGTTATGGGGTTCCAGCACTGTGCAGGAGGGGGCATTTGTGGTTGTCCCTTATAAAACCTCTGTTGCTGAATTGAGGAGAGAATTGGAAAAATTCTCCTAATAACAGATTCACATTGACATTTTGTCTCTGCTAGAGTGGGGAAGTTAAAACTGCCTGGGGAAAAGTAGAAGAGACGAAGGAAAACTACTTTTCCCTCCCCACATTGCAGTTGCTCATAAAAATAAGAGAGTTTTACAATAAAATGAGGAACATGCTCTCTGTCACTATTTACTTCAGATTAAGTATTTCTCGTGTATGTGTGACTTCCTGCTCTGGTCACTCATCAAGCTTGTTTGACAGCAGAAATAGAAAATACATTTCTTTTGCTGCCTGGGGCACCCCATAATAGCAGTGGTTGTGGCAGGAGGGACTGAGGAGTCTGCAGGAGGGCTTGGCTGTCCCACTGTGATGGTGAAGGAACCCAGTGTAAGACCCAAAATAAATTTTGTTAATTGCTTCAATACATTTGAATTTTGCTAACAATCATGTCTGAGTTTCTTTTTTTTTGTCTCCAACAAGAAATCCTTCTAAAGAGGAAAATAGTAATAAGCTCAAAATTAATATTGATATAAATACTCGGGGTTTTTTCTGTCTTGTGATATGCCTACAAGTTGGGAAGTACAAGAGAAAAGAAGATTTGAGAAGGATGAAATGTTCTCTTTACTGTGTTGTGAGAGCTCTGCTCTCTCTTCTGAGGGTATCAGTGCAAGGCTTCCATGCTGTAACCAAAAGAGCATGGCTCTGAAAAGTTGTATGCTATGCCACAACTATTTCGCATTATTAGCTTTATTTGCTCTATTTTAAAACTCAAAACGTAGCATGTGATATTCTGTTTGAAAGGTTTTGTGGAAAAAAAAAATCCTATGGTCCTTGTGGTATTTGGACTTAGTCACAGATGAGTTGTGTTTAATCTCTAGTTGGAAACTTTCACATATTAATCAAGTTGGGTTTTTTTTTTGTGTGTTGTATTTGATTTTGGAAAATTAATATATTGAAAACTAAAATATCAAACCCCTAGATTCATTAAGTTTCTGACTTCACATTTAATGGCTTGCTGCTCCATACATGCTGCTATAGTGCATCATCTCAGGCTTGTCTGATGTGATGTGTGATGGGACTACAGAACCGGATTTGCCATAATGCAGCATTACTGATCTGATAGAAGAACGTGCAAGAGTTTTCCTGCCCACAGTAGTGCTGCACTAAATGTTCTACAAAGCTTCCCTTATTCTATCTCTACATTTGCAGTAGACAGCACACACTGATTCTGTTTTTCTGGGTTTTCTTGTATCACTAATTATCTTTCCATATTGTGCTTCACTTTACAGCACTCTGTATACAGAGTAAGCATACAATTTCTTACTTTGCACTGTTCTTTTCAAATATTGCTTTTAATATAAAGAAGAATGAATACAGTGTATCATCCTTGTTCTGTTAATAGGAGTTATATTTTGAGTAGTTCATGCACTTCAATCTCTGTGGAAGATAGCCTGAGAGAATGAAAGAGAATTTTTACATATGGAAGAAAGCTGTGTAGTCACATCCATGTGTTAAACTACTGTCTGTATGAGGTTGTAATATTTTTTCTTTTGATCTACTTATGCGTTTTATTTTTGAAGATTGATTCTATTATAATTAAATGAATGAATTTTTTCTTTGGTTTGTTCTTGAAAAATGATTGGGTTGTTAGCTTTAATTTGATATGCTTTCAATCTCACATGTCTTGCACTTTTGGCTTATACTTTGAACATAGTTCTGCAAGATGTCCTGGTCTGAACCAAATGGTCAGTAAAAATGAGCTTTTCTTGGGAGTGAAGGACTGCAACTTGTTCTAGGGATTTTTCAGGATTGCTTGGAGTGTATCCTAAGTTTTGGCAGCCCTCTCTGGCAGACACGTTATGAAATACAGACTGTACCTAGTTAAGAGCCAAAAAATAATAGTTCTTTTTCTCCTGGTTTAAGAAGTTCTTCCTATTATAAGGTTAATTTTATCATGCTACTGCACCTTCCTGCTGTGGATGGGTAGGATGCACACGTGTTTCATTCAGCAGAAGTTGTGCAATTGACATCTTGCATGTTAGAGGAGAAAGAGAGACACAAGTGATAGTAAGGTTACTCTCAGGCATAAAACCAAAATTCCTTTTGCTTTTTGAGTACAGTTTCATTTTCAGCAGGTGGATTTGAAGTTTGACCTTTCTGACACTGGGTACTTAAACAGATTCTCTGAATGGTTTTTGTAAGCCTTTTAATTCTGTCCAAGAGAGAATGATGGTTATATATGTTTCATTACAGTTTGTGGCTGGTCTGTGTTTTAGTCTGGAAGTTATTTATAGAACTATGTTTATATACAGTTATATCTATTTTTATATAACACATAAAAATATGTTACAGATATGTTTTTATATATATACATAATATATATACATAAGAATGAAACTTATAAGTATCTCCAACTTTAATGGAAGAATATACAATTTTCTATGTTGGAAAAAGCTTATGGTTTTTCCTTTGAGTACTGTAGATTCTTGCATTCCTGCCCTCATGAATTTTTTTTCCTGTTTTAATTCCTATGCATTATGTATTGCTATATTTTTGATAGAAAAATACCAGAAATGTATGGAGTCCTAAACATTCTAATATAAATAATAGTAAAAAATACATTAATCCTTACTAATATATATTTTTTCTTGTCTGATACAGTCTAGATTAATCTTAGGTTATGGGCCTAGCATTTCAGCATTACTGATTTTGACAGCGTTAAGCTAGTTTGGGGATCTTATTGAATTAAGAAAAAACAAAACAATGAAATACATTGAAAACGCCTGTTCTCCCATTCAGTCTTGGAAATGGGACAAATGACAGAAAAAATGGAATAGATTACTTAATAAAACCTAAATCTGAAAACAGTTACTGGTACAACAAAAGATGGGTGGGTCACATTTAAATTGTACTCCTGCTTTTAAAAGGGATCAGTAGGGAAGGTAAACAAAACACAAGTACAGTAATGGAGCAGTGCTTTGTACATAAATCTGATCTTTGAAAATAAATCTGCTAGTAGTGTGTTGGTATCTTGGCAGTGTGAACAGTGATCTTCTATTTTGTTAAATTTACTGTGTGCATCTCCAGCTGTGGGCACTGTGCAACACATTTAAACAAGGCTCACCAAACCCTGGTGAATATTTTCTAATTGGTTTGAAAGAATCAGGTTATCCAGTATATTGCTGCATAGTTATGACCTAACTGTCCTAAATTCGCTGCTAATGTTTTCAAATATGGTGCTTCTCAGGCTGTGAGCTGCTTTCCCTTGTGCATTCACATAATAAAATATTGCTGAGAATGATCCTAGTTACTCAAACAATAATAAAAACCAGATGTTTAGTTTCTATTTATTATATTTGACAGCTAAGGTAGTTATAGGATATATTTAAAAGTCTGCATAATAGCATAATTCAGATTTCATTTCAAGGTGTTTGGTGGAGTCCATACTTCTGGTTCTTGTCAGTGAAAAACATTAAAGTCTAAATAAAACTAGTTGTTTGTGGATTAAGATTTCCTGCTGTGAATGTTGCCTCATGTTCTAGATTTCATTTAATGCATATTTTCAAATTTTGTTTTCAGGTCAAACATCCGGCCAGACTATGCAGATACGAGCTTTCATGAGTTCAAAATGCATACCTTCAGTCGGGTGACATCTTGCAAAGTCTGTCAGATGCTTCTGAGGTATTGTACAAGTTTTTTTGGGTGGTAGTCTCCCCCCTCCCTGCCTCTGCAAGGTCAGGCTGGATGGGGCTTTGAAAGGTGTCCCTCTTCATAGCTTAGCAGGCATGAAAGATAATAGAGAGTTTGGATAATCTTTAAGATCCCTTCCAACCCAAACCCTTCAATGATTCTATGTTGCATATTGTTGATATTCTGAAAAATGAAACCACAGCATTTTAGCAAGGGCATTTGAGTGTGGGTAGTGCCTTTGTTAAGCACAGGCATGGAATTCTTCTTCCTTTAGCAATACTTTTCCTGACTAGTCAGACTGACCTGGATTTTCATTTTTCATCTTGAGTTGTTTTTTTTTTCCCCCCTCAATGCAATAAAGTCTAAGTGATATGAACAGTGGTGCAGACCTTCTAAACTTAAAAGTCAGGAGGGCTAATTCCTGGCTTTGGAGCAGTGTAGTTGAGTTACTGGGTCTGCACCAACTGCTGTTGCTGAGGAGCAGCTGTTGTGCATTCAGGACACAGCACCCAGGATGCTGCCTGGTTCTCCATGGGCCACCAGCTGGCTATTCCCAAGTGCCACCTTGTGGGACAGACACATGTAGAGGAATTAACAGCTCTGAATATTACCTGAAGTGATAAATGTTTTTTAAAAAGTGAACAAATTTATAGTTAGGAATATTTTCCATATAGCCTCAAAACTACTTAATGCTTAAAAAATATACATTCAATCTTAAAACTTTCTTGCACTGGATCCTATTCTTCATAGTGCCTAGGCAAATTCCCACTGAGATGAAGTGAAGTGTAGATCTGTAGTAGGATAAATGCATAATGGTACAATTTCAAGTGTGCTGTTCCAAAGTAGCTTTGGATTACATTGAGATGGAGGTTATTATTCTACTAGTCTGAAAGAACTGTCTGGTCGTGATTTTTAAATGGCTAGTAGTGACAGAAAGCAGATGAGCTGCTTGTATGTCAGTTGTCACTTTTTCTCAAGGCTCACGGACTATCATTATGCAGAACAACAAATGGCTTCTAATACCTTCTGCCATGTCTCTTATGTCCTTTATGTGTGGAATTTGTCACCTCTAATGTATCACTACCTAATTTTATTTTACAGGGGAACATTTTATCAAGGCTATTTATGTTCTAAGTGTGGAGCTGGAGCACACAAAGAATGTTTAGGAAGACTAGACAATTGTGGCAGGGCTAATTCAGGTGGTAAGTCATTTTTATTGTTAGAATACCATTTTTAATTAGGACATAAAACTTGCTAGATATAATTAAGGTTTAATTTACCTCTAATTTGTGTTTATTGTAACATGCATACTTGTGAAACTACCATTTATAAGCACAATTAGAATTGCATTTAGGATTCATAGGGATTTTTATTGCTACTAAATTGAAATGTTCCAAAGCAGGAGAGAACTGTTACAGGTCAAACCAAATTTCTTCGTCAATGTTGTATACAACAAGGAATTGCCCTTGTTTCAGTTGTGGACTGCTCATATGGAATACCTACAGTACAGCACATCATCTGTCATTCTTGTGCCTCTCCCTTTTTGTCTACGTCAATTTTCATATTTTCCTCTCAGTTCCTAAAGCTGTTTGTGTTGCCTCAGCTTCCTCTTTCATCTCTTTGGTTTCTATGATTTTTGTCCACTCACAGTATTCACAAAAAGGTGATTGATGGCTCTCTACTTCCTACACCTAAGAACTATTTTTTTATTCCTTTAATCAATTGCTCTGTGAATTTCTCCCCTGGCCATTGTCACTTTGCGCTTCCCTGTTCCATTCTTTGGGACTTCAGGAGTCTTTTGATTTCAACTACCATTTGGCCTCCCACAAATAACTCCAAAAATTTGACGCCTTCCCGTTCTGCTCAGTATTATACCTGTAAATCTCTTTCTGATGTCTTCTGGATCTCCCATGCTAATGTTCAGTGTTAGCCCCCATCACTGGCTTCCCTTTCCCTCCCCTTCCCTTCCCTGTACTTACTCTGTTGGTGGAAGTGAGTTTGTTACACTATTGCCACAATCATATAATCCTAGTGCCATTTTTGACTCTTCCCTCTGTCCAGCTTCTCAAATGTTCTTTTTTCTAGAGATGATTTTGAATTGCTGTTGTGTTTAAAAAAAGAAAACCATTGGGAGCACATGATGATTTCTGGAAAGTAGCGTTTTATATGTTGGGGAAGTTTCTAGTTATGTGTCATTCTCACTTCTCTAAATTCTAAATTCCTTTTCAGAATGATTTCATAACAATTTGTGAAGTTTCTCATGTCTCACATACTTCACATAAACTACAGTAACCACTTCCCTTGGGTTATTTTCTTTTTTACATTAGTCTCTACAATCTTTGGAAAGTGCTGTTGCAGACATATGATCTCTCCCACCTTTGAATGATGTGATGGCTTCATCTGCTGCTCTTTACTGAGCTGCTGTTCCCAAATTGACTCTAGCTGGTTGTTCCTTTCAACATTGTATAAGCTTGTTTCTGTCTTTGTCCCTGTGCACATTACTTCTGATTTCTACTTGGCTTTTTGCTCTCTGTGCTAATTACCTGTCCTAGTCTTCCATGAAATCAACAGGATGGCAGGCACTGACTTTTGCTGTAGTCAGTAAACCTTGTTTTCTTCAGCTGCTTTTCTGTATTGGAGATCTTCATGCTCCAAGTCTGAACTCTTTACAAATAATCTTTTGTAGATCTGAAAACTGTACAAGCAATCACAGTATTTGTGACTGAAACCCTTTTTGGAACACAGGCTTTTCACAGAACCTCCTACAGATATTCTAAGGAAAATAAATATTTAAAATTGTCTTAAAAATGGAAGGTTTTAAAGCAATTACTTGAATTTAATAGAGTGGAAAAACAAACACATATTGTTCTTTACAAAAGAACTGTCTTCTGTAATATAAACCACCCCTACTTCTACCTTTTTCCTTTGTCTTTCTCCTTTTCTTTTAATCACTTCTGTAGTTTTTATTTTAATTGGATAGCTGGCACCCCAGGAGGCAGGAGCTTGTCTTCCTGTTCCTCTGTAAATATCTGTGGACACATATGGTGCGACATGCATTAGTAAGAATGACCATAAATGCCTGGATAACAAAAGGTCTGATTTCTCTTAATTTTCCTGCATACTTAAGCAATGCTGTAGACTTGTAAGTGGAATAAATTATAATTATAATTTTAAAAATTCGAGAAGTAGAATGGTATTTTGTATTTTACTTTAAATCATGTTCCTGATGTTTGTAGAATTATGCTGTACTGAAATTGCAAGCAACTGGATTGCTAAGATCCTTTTTTGTGTTATGTGTTTTGGTTACATCCAGGTATTCAACCCTCTGTCCTCTCTTCAAACTCCACTTTCTCTTCTCTTGTTTTTTCTTCTATGCCAAGACTCCCTCATTGCTGTAGCTGTCATACAAGACAGGAGAGTTGTGCATCTCCTACCTGCTCTTGAGGCAGAACAGGAAGTGCTGAGCTGTGTCTTTGCTTAGAGTCTGCTCTGTGATCGTAGCTACAAAAACCAGCTCTAAACTGCAGCTCTTCCCCTTGCTCTATCAAACAACGAGCATGGAAAGACAAGGGGTTTGGCTTACTTTGCTCAAAGTGTGTCATCCCTCCACCTGATAATGGAACTTTGGCCAATGAGTAGCAAAGGAAAACCTCAGGTTTTTCTCTACTGTTTTCCACTTTTACTCTTTCTTTGCCTTTTTAAAGAAAGAAGTGTTGATTGAGCAGTGCTGACCATTCATAATGTGCACAGACCAAGGAAAGGTTTAAGGAGGAGTTTTACCAGTACCTGCTTCCCTGTGTGGGCCACAAAGGGATGAAACAATTCAGACTTTCTGAAATATTGGTTAGTGAAACTTGAATTGTTTCTAGAGCTGTCCTTTAACTATAACAGAGCTATGCTGAGAAATGAGGTCTCCCATAAGTTATCTTTCATGCCTGCTAAGCTATGAAATATTATTGAAGGCATGCAGACAGAAAGATACAATGTAAAATTCAACATTTTTGCTGAACTTTGTGGAAGAAGTATACTCTACAGGCACAAAATTCTAACATGCCTTTAATTTTGAATACTTTTAAAATATTTAGAGAAATTAATTTATGATAAATACAATATCTTTTAGCACTGTCATTTGCTGCTCCTGTGGGAAATGAGCAAAGGCTTGTACAGCAGCAAAATGACTGGAACACTTATTGTATTGCTGTGTTTGGTGGGTTGGTTTGTTGGTTTGTTTTTTTTCTCCTCACATTTTTTTCTAGGGGACTATTACAGCCTTTTTCACAGGGTATAATGTACATGAAATGGAATCATTCTTTTAGGAAACTGGACATTATTGTTCCCCAGTCGTGTGGTATTAGTTATGGCCACAGACATGGTATATACATCTACATATGTGTAGATAGATATATTTTCTGTTTAATCTGGTGTTCTGTCATTCTGCCAGTGCCATTCCAGATGCTTGACAGCCAAGTGCAGATCCTCTGTGTGGTAGACAGGAATGATGCTCCTTGCTTGATCCTGTTAAACTTTCTTCCTTTCTTTTTTGGCCTTTGAAGAGTTTTTACATCTTGTTAATGCTTTTGTATGGCTTCCCTATTTGGAAATGTCCCACTGCATTTCAGTGTTAGAACAGTGAGTTCTCTGTGAACATGTAGATGTTACTTTGGGCTTTTGTGAGAAATCTTGACTGAACTGCTTCTCTTTGATAAAATATTTTGACTTCTTAATAGTATATTCTCCAAATAGAACAGATTCAAATTTTTTATTATCTTTTTATAAGTGTAATTTTTTTCTATGTTTCAAATAATTTTCATTCCTATTCTGTAGACCTCTTGTACTTCTAGGGGCTTATTTGTAAAAAGGTGATCAGAGTTCAAATCACTGAAGTGGGAATATGCCATTACGTTTCTCAAAGGCATTTGAATTTTCCTCAGCATTTTCTGGTTTTGTAAAGTTTCTGTTTTCTTTATAGCCCATGAGCAGATGTTTTTGCCAGCCTTTCTGAAATGATGCTTAGAACTTTCCTGAGTGGATTAAATCTTTTTAAATTTCATTGCAAGTCGCACTTTGTGAAAATTCAAAAGACAGACATCCAAAGATAGATGAAACGTTTTGAATGACAAAATTATTAAGTGTCAGATTTAGATGATACACTTATGAGAGAAACATTGACAAAATCTGAAGATAAATTGCTGTGTTCTCATACTATGCCTTATACACAAACATATGCCAGTTCTTCAGATGTTTTGCTTCAAAGGCGGCCAGTTCAGCAGATTGTAGAAATTTTAGTGATAAAAGATGCAGAGTTAATCAGCTGAATTAATAAACAGAACAAAATGTTTGCATTTAGCCCTTGGGTTTTCTAGGTTGCTGTTCCTGCCCCTGCTGCTGTAAATCAGCAGTGCTGATTGAAGTCTTCTGTGCTCATTCCTGTCATTATTGATTTACCCCTTTTTCCCCCCCTTAAAATGGTGTCCTGTACATCCTCGAATAGTACTCTACATTTTCATATATTTTACTTTTCTGCCCTATTACTTAATCTTTCTGTGATTTGGAATCCTTGTTAATGTTCTAATGAACGCCTTTGAATTTGATTGCACGATCTTAGACTGTGTGAAATCCTTTAACACAAGGATTAGAAAACGGTTGCACATATTCCTGTGACAGGCCATTTATAAAGACATATACATGGTGTTCTTTTCTCTGCTGGCTGTGAGGGCATCTCCTCTCCCTTGTCACATCTTCTGGCTTCTCAACTGCATTCCTATGTCTTATTTCATGGCACAGAGCAATTTCACTCATCTGGTGATGCTTTCCCACTGGCTGGAAGGGTTTGTGTCTGGGAATGCTTAAGACAGGGGCCTTGGGAAAGCAAGCATGAGTAAGACACACCTTTAGTAGCCAAAGGGAGAAGCTGTACCCCTTGTTGTTCCCACTCTTATTGTACAGACTGTTCTATGTCCTTTGCAATTTCTTCAGAGACCTCATAGGATTGACAAACAGTATCACTCTGCCTAGAACATACTGAAGAACTCCAGTCTGTTTCCTAGTTTAAACCATCAGAATTAACAATTCATTTTTATTTCCACACTGGAATTTTTCCAAGTCCATCAAATTAGGTTGAATTAAGTATTCTCAGGCAAATGCTTGCTGGTTCTACTGACTATTGAATATTTCAATTAGAGAAACCTCCAATGATTTTAGAATCTGAAAGTGTTTTGAATTTTTTAAGTATAGTGCCAAACCCACAGAATTTTCTTCTTTATATTGCTTTTCCCAGGGAATGTTAAAGGCGTGTCTCATCAGGTTATAAACAGATTAGAAAAACATTAGCTGGTCATTTTTATAGTAAATCTTACTTAATTTATGCATGATTTCTTTAATTTCATTTGAAAAAATACTGTATTTCTTTAGATGGAAAAGAAGTTGCTTCAGCTGTGAGATGAACTTAAAAGACAATGTTGGCATGTGAATGGGTTAAGTTTAGAATTGCTTTCATACAGTAATGTGCATGCCCAATGATACAGTCCATGCTGTTCATGTCCTAATTGCTTGCTCCAGCACATTAGAGATTATTCATGAAAAGCCTGTGGTCTTGACATCTCAAAGAAACCAGCAGCTTTCACTATTTACGTTTTTGCTGAATTTAATCAATAGTTGCAAAATTGCTGGCTCTCCTCCAAACCTCTTGTGTCAGCTGAATTGACAAGTAAATGCTCAAATCTCACGAAGTTCATTGCAGTGATACCACTTTTTAAAAAACTCCAACAGAGGTTTAGCTGTATTGCTTAACCAATGATTCTTGCTCAACCTGAACAAAAGCCAGTTAGGGCACCTGATATTTTTTAGGGTCCTACAGTGTGGTACATCTGGGTCACATTTCCAATTTTGTTCTGATTGAGTAATAACTGGCTAAATTACTGGAAAGGAACACATAGTCCCACAGCTCCTTCCAAGGGACTTAGGTTATAGTTCCTGCATTTTAAATATTTAGAGTTTTCTTTTAAAATAGAAAGGTGAGTAGCTTATTACATATAATTTTATTTACTCTGTTTAGTTAGCATGTAAATCCAGCTGCTTTGTTGCATCCCTGAAGAGCAGCTTATTCCCATTTTCTGAGCTGTGTTCCCTCACTTACTGAGGCCAGCTGCTGCTCCTCTTGCTTCTGTAGTAAAATATGATTATCAAAATGTGACCCAATGGTAATATGGCCTCAGTGAATAAACAAGAAAAACCCCCAAACTGTGCTGAACTATGGCATTAATTATGTGGCTGTCAGAACTGAGGACTCACTTGATGATTTCATTGGCACATTGGTGGTGAGCAGGAACTTTGGGATGCTCTGATCACCAGCTGGAACTCATTCATCTAGTTGGATTTAGGATATTTTCTAGAGGTAAAAATAATCAATGGCAACTTTTAAAAATCAGATTCATTCCATTCATTTCCATTAGAGGATAGAACATTTCCATCCAAACTTTTTGATAAAGGATCTGCTGAAATAAATTTAAGTCTTTAGAATATAGAAAAGGAAGAAACCCCTTAAGACGGGATTTGAAGTTTAGGCCTCCTTTGCAACTACTTAGCTATATGACTTCCCTTCATAATGCTGAGATCAAACATTCAAAAAAGGAGATTTTATTCTGATTTTGGCAAAAATTCTGAAAGGCATATCAGATCATGAAATACCAAAATTATATTGAATTTCAGTACCACTCGGGCAACTAATTCCCTCAGGCTGCTTAGAAAACCTCAACAGCTAACCTGCATCTCCTCCTTTGGGTGGCCTTATTTTCCTTCTCTTTGCTCCCTCTGCAAATGCAAACTGCTCCTTGTGGGAAGGTTAGAAGGCGTCCCAGGAGTGCTCCCCGTGCTATGGGCCTACGTGAGCGGAGCCGTGCCAGGGCACGCCAGGCCTTTTGTTTTCCCACACCCCACTGCTTCAAGCAACCTTTCCTAGTGGAACTAGAGGGGACTTGCAGTTAAGGTTTATTATCTGCTTTAGTGTGGATATGTCAGAAGTTATTACAGTAAAAGTTTTCCAGTGTCGTGAAGTGCAGAGACCAGGCATGTGCAGCCGGTGCTGGGCCTCCAGTTTGAGGCACACAGGGGCAAACACAGCTTTGGTATCCAGAGTGCCTGGATTACCCAAATCCAAATTACCCTGGAGTACCCAAATACCTGCTATCAGATTATACATTCAAAGGACATGGACAAAGGAGACCCTCTTTTGTGCCTTTTGTGATGTCAAGTGCCATGTGTGCGCTGAAGTGTCACTGGCTTTATTCAGTCTTCCTGATGTCCCATAGGATTTTTTTCCCTAATTTCTAAATAAAATTTAAAAATTTTAAAATAAACTTAAACAAGTACCACAAAGCTTGTAGTAGAAGCAAATGAAGCAGCAGTGCCATCAGTCTCTGGTGAACTAATGCAATGCTGAATTGAGCATGAAACACAGAACACTCTGAAGCTAAAAGTATACCTTTAAACTTCATACACCTTGTCACACTGAAAAGCCAGAGGGGAAAAAACCCGTTTGAGCTGGGCGTGCAATGCACGGTAGCTGCGGGTTCGCAGGGAGCCAGTGTTTACCAGGCGCTCCCGCAGCGCTGCGTGCCGCGCCGTGCCCGGCCATGGGCGCAGCCCGGCCATGGGCGCAGCCCGGCGGGGCCAATGAGCGCGGCGGGCTTTGCACAACAGCGCCCGGCGCGCCCGGGCTGGGGCGGCCGCGCCGCTCCCCTGGCTGCAGGAGGCAGCGCGCTTTCTCTAACTGCGCGGGCTCAGATTGCTCTGTTCAAGGTGCACGGCTTGCAATCAACAATAATGCCAATTTTTACTTATGTTTCAGAACATGGAAACGTGAAACATGAGGTAAGGATTCGTTTTGTTTTGCATGTGATGTTTGTTTTTGTTGGTGACATAGGAGCTCTTTATTACTCTGTACATGCTGATGGAGAAGGTATGTTTTTCTTCTGGGTTTGCAAACATTTCTTTAGAGTGCTGTAGAAGTTGTCTAAGCAACAGGGTATTCATGGTTAAATATGAATGTCTTCTACTCAAAATGTGAATTAAACTTGCAGCAAAATGACAGTGCTGAGAGCCCTGAAAGGGGTGGAGATGCTTTTTTAAGCTACAGGTAAGAAAACATTGCTTCACAGCTGGTGATTAGATCCTTACTGTTCCTAGACAAAATCTGGCTATGTTCTATAAAAAGTATTGTAAATGTAAAGGTATGCTTTTCTTCTTTTTAAAAAAGTATTCTTTTTTCTTCTCTGCCATATGGGGTGATGAAGGATTGGCAGAGCAGAGCAGTGTTTGCCCTCTTGATGTGAAAGAAGGTTGCAGGTTGCATATCCTGTGATACGGGTTTATGTAATCTGGAGAGAACATTAGAGTGAGACCTGAACAGAGGAGCTGCTGTGATGCACCTAGTGTAGCTTGCTGTCAGCCTAGGAAGGGTTATTTTTTGGCCAGCTCCTGGGGCCTCTTCACTGTTGTACAGGACGGCACAGCAGCTGGGTTTTGTCTGTCCCATCTAACAAAAGAGAGGCAGCACTTCAGACCTAGAGCATAATAATTTCTAGCATCACTTTAGATCAGAAGTTTATAGTAATTGCTTAAATGACATGCCAGTTATGAACAGCATGTGAGTGTAAATGTTGCTGCTCTCCATAAGCATGGCTGTGTTTGATGCTGTCACTTAATAGGGGGAATGGGAGGATGTTATTGCTGACATGGCTAGTGCAGGTATAGTAGTGTGCAGGGCTGACCACATCTGTGCTCTCTCATGTTTGAGCTGTTTGGGTGTCACTGGAACCCCAGACAGCACTGGGGCTGCCAGCTCTGCACCCTCTGGTGAGCTCCTGGGATGTGTGCCCAGATGGACTCCTGCTCCTGGGATCCTGCAGGGGAATCATGTGGTGACAGGGGAGCTCCAGCAGAGGAGAGGCGTGTGCTGCCTGTGCCCAGCCCCTGCCTGTGCCTGTGCCCAGCCCCTGCCTGTGCCTGTGCCCAGCCCCTGTCCCTGCCTGTGCCCAGCCCCTGTCCCTGCCTGTGCCCAGCCCCTGTCCCTGCCTGTTCCCGTGCCCAGCCCCTGCCTGTGCCTGTGCCCAGCCCTTGCCTGTGCCCAGCTCCTGCCTGTGCCCGTGCCCAGCTCCTTGTCACTGCCTGTACCCAGTTCCTTGTCCTTGTCTCTGTCCACCCCCTGCCTGTGCCCAACTCCTTCCCCTACCCAGCCCCTGCTGCTCTCCTCACTGCATCCTCAGCCGTGCCTGTGGCTACGTGCTGCCCAGCCTTTCATGCCTCTGCCTTGACAGATGTGCTGAGTAAGGTCACTCTCAGCTATGGGGATCACAGTGTGATCTTTTTGCCTGATGCCTTCTCAGTCCTGCAGCTGGCAGGCATGGCTGGAGAGCTGTGAGCAGATCATCTACTGGCCTTAGTGGACAAGGCTTCCTAAAGCTAACTAAAGCTTGGTGACCATACTGTGGCTGGATGAAAAAATAGGTATACTGTTTTTTCTTGTTAGGAGAATAAAGGCCTCCTTTCTAGAGTTATTGATTTGCTATTGCTTATTGAGTTGATCCAAAACATCAGGATTACATTAATTTTTACCAAGACTTGTATTTAAGTGCCTGCTTTAATTCTCTCTGTGCAGAAGAAAACTTAAGCATGGATGAGGAACTGTCGTTTTGGAAAACATGGATTTAGGTTTCATACCAGTAAAGTAAAGAATCTACTGGTTAATAAGTATGTTTAAGGATATTGAGCACTTTTTCATACAGCTCAAGAACTATTTCCTTAAGACTATTTTTCCAGCCATATTTTGGTGTATATGACTTGAATTGTCTCAGTCTCCCTTTGTACTTTTCCGAGTCCTGCCCTTTTCCCTTTGCTGTGCAAATCTGTGGTTGCTCACCAATCTGCATCCATCCATATCAGTAACATGGCTTCCATCTATAAAAAAACAATGCAGGATAAAATTGAGCATTTTGCTTTTATCCAGTACTGCTACCTTCATTGTGACAGCAGCTTTAAATTTTTATTCTATCCACTACAGATGAAACAAAACTTGTATCCTTTCTTTAATTAGACTTGTAGGGTACAGAGAGAATGTGTCCAAGGACTCGAGAGTTTGAAAGCTGTTTTCAAACCAAGCTTTTGATTTTGCTTGCTTGCTACAGGGCTTGGTAATTTGGTTATGCCTCAGGTTACTGCTTTCTGGCTTCCCTTGGTGTGTGTCCTGCATCAGCTTATATCAACGGCGAGTAAATCAGAGCAACCTAATTGTTCCCTTTGTTATGCAACGTGCCTTTCTCTGCTTGGTTTGATTAAAAAATAAATAAATGCATGAACCGTCATGCAAGTTACCAGATAAAACAAGTTTGCAAAAGCAGATGAGTCGTTCGCAGATATGCATTATTTCACATTGAAATTTCCAGGGATCCCTAGTAAGTGTCTTAATGTATAAAATATAGAAAAGAAATTGAAATAATCTGAGTCTTGTCAGAGGTTTCTGATTTCACACAACTCTGGTTCCTCCAGTTTTAGAGAGACAGTCAAATTCCTAAATATATTTAAATACTTGCCTAGAAAAAAAAGAAAATTAAGCATTCCATAGGGGATTGTAGTTAGCTTCAGTTTAAAGTAGAAATAGTGAAAGTTTCTACCTTATTAAAACAATGCAAGTGGCTTTGACTTTTGTGTTGGTGGATGTTATCTGGGGCACATGATGCTAGACTGCGTATTTTTCCCCTATCTTGTTCATAAAAGATTAAAAAATACGTTTGTTCTTAGTATCAAAAAATGTTGATGTATGAACAAACCTTCTATGGACTGAGACTCTTTCAGCCTAGTGTCAGAAAAAATGGGATATATGAAAAAGTCATCAACGTTGCTAAGAATATTTTTCAAAGTGTGAACTTTGTGCAAGATAAAGATAATTGTGTTGATGGTTGGGGGAAATAACTTAAGAAAACCAGCTTTGCCTAGTAGATTGTGGTAATGAAAGCATTTCATTGAGCCTTCATGAAAACATGTTTATTCATATCCTTGATTCTTATTTTTGCTCTGCAGAAACGAACAAATGGAATTAGAAGAAGCTCTAGACACGTGGACCCAGGTTTGTATCATGACTTTTTAATACTTAGACATTAAATAAAAGGAGTAAGAAAGCTGTAACTTGCTTTGTTAAGTTGCATTGTGAACGCTATTGCCATGCACACAATGCTGAGAACTTGACTGCTGAATTCATGAAGGACTAAAGCGATTGCTCTCTTTGTGCTTTCAAAGATAAGGTCAGCTGGTTGAACTCTTAATTTTTCTCCCCCTTGTTTTTTGTTTAAGCAGAGCTCTGGTTCTGTTTGAACAACAAAATGCCTCTGGGCTTTCAGTTAATATGACCCACCCTACTGTACTCGGTAGTTTTTTAAAGAAATAACTAAGGGATGAATATCAGACAGTTGCTTATAAAGCTCAGGTCTTCAAGTCGTGGGTATTCTCAGCTCTTAACTGTAGTGGTGCTCAGTGCTTAACTGTATGAGTTACATTTCAGAAAGGCATAAACCAATTGCAGTTTTTTATTGATTTTCAAAGTGATTTTATTTTTCCTGTTAGTTTATAGTAGATATTTCTGTGGAATCATGGCAGCAGCAGCCCTTAAGAAAATTAAATGCTTGGTTATAGGTTGTGTACTCAAGTGGGTGAACATTTCCTCTGGAGACCCATTATGTGTCTGTGTAAAATATTCAATGTTTTTCAGTGTAGCTGTGTGATATTTTTAGTGTCATTTTTTACAGTAATTACATTTCTGTCCTTTATGTTTCTTGTATAGTTTAATTACCGGAGATTTGTTATGCAGATACTATTTGGAATAAAAGTAAGCTGTGGATTATTAAATATTTCTAGATGTGGACATCTGAGAATGGTTGAGTTAAACATTAAACAGGATGGCAATTCTTTACACCACATTATAGCCTGGCAGAGCTAAGCATTTTTCAAAAAGTAGGAATGCTGGTTGTGCCACTAGTACTGCAGCTGCCTTGGCTTGGAAAGTCTAAATGTTGTAACTAGCTGAAGCAGACCACACCTTTCTTACTCACGTACCTTTGACATGTTTTGGAACACGTATCGTCACTTTGTTCCCTCTAGCAAAATAAACCTGCTTCATGATTCTAGAAATTGTTCTGTGTGTCCTGACGACTGCAGTCATAAAAGAAAAAAATGAGCACCCTGTAACTCTGAAAATTAATACAGTCACAGGGGAAAACATCAAGGGTAGGAATTAAATAATGCAGAAGGGGATGATTTCTTCCAAGTGTTTGCTAACAAGACTGAGTTCTTCCCATTCATTGCATGTTGCAGTGAAGTGTAATTGTGTGCTTGCAGAATAGCCCTTATAGGTTCAGCTGTCTCATGTAGAGTCATAGAAGGTCAAGTAATTTAGCTTTGAGAACCTTTTGAGTATACTGGTGATTTTACTTGCTGTTGAAGTCTGATAGAAGTATTTGCAGGATCTTTATGTACAAGGATACTTTAAAAGTAGTTTTTATTGAAGACTAAGTACCATTGAAATCACCAAAAGCAGTTGAATTAAGTAGGTGTTTAAAAGCTGCGTGTAGCCAATGCATAAAATACAGTTCTGCTTGCCCCTGCTTTCTCCATTTACCTACACAGAGCAGTTCTTGAGTTGTTGGGTTAATCTTGTTATGGAGTGAAGTTCTTGGTCCTCATAATATTTTTGAAAGCCAAAAGAAATGAAGAATGTTTGCATGAATTTTAAATCTCCTTTTTGGACGCATGACTCTAGCAGACTTCTTACAGAATTGCTTCTGACATTTTGAAGGTTTTAAATAAGTAATAGTGAGAAATATATTACATACTAATGTGCTCTGTACATACACTGTTGGTTTTCAAATGAAATGAGCATTTGTTTTGCATTTTGTCAGGATAGACATTCTGTGTCCTCCTGAAACTTGGTGGGTATAATTTTTAAAGTCTTTGGTAAACTCCTGACATCTATTTTGCATAATCTAAGTACTACTAGTTCATCAGATTGCCTTGAGAGGCAGATGCTATCCAGAGGGCAGCACTTGGAGGAGATCAGTCATGTCAGGCACACATTACTGCATTGAGCCTCAGAGCTTTCCAAGAGCACTGACGTGAAATTCTGAAGAGTCTGAGCACTAGGATGCTCTTTTTGCTGAGAGAGGTGGTCAAAAGTTTGACTGCCCAGACTGCTTTGTCTTTAGAAGGTTTGGGCTGCTGCTGCTGCAGCCAGTGCTGTGATGGTGTGAAGCATGGGTGCTAGGTAAGGGAGGAGACACTTGCTGGAATCAATAACCAGCACCTGCAGTGATATTGATATTGATGGAGTTTGATATCACCAGTAAATACAAATATTTTGCTTTGCAACATGTCAAGATTGTTCTGTTATTTGTATCTTGGCTATTCTAGTAAAGAATCATGAATAGCATGGTCAAGCATTGGTGTTTCTCTTTTTATGCTTAGAGTCAAATCCAACTCTTGCTGACACAGCTGAGCCCAGAATGAAAAATCATTTAAATTTGATGAGAAGTAGTACAAGTTGAAGGATGGTCTAAACAAAACGATGGGAGGATACTGGATTAAAATATCTTGTTTCCTGCTGGTAAAGCTCATTGATGAAGGAACCTATCTAGCTGAAGTACCCTAAAGGCAATTAGTTAGTTTATGGCTTTTTCATTTGTGTTTCTTTGAAGCTGGGTTAAAAGTTTTGACAGTGACAGTTCCCTCCTTGAGATTTGCTTTGTGCTAAATAAGAAGGAAGGGTAGAAGAAAAAATGATTAATGGATGATGAAGCAGAGAAATTCCCATGAAATGAAAGCAGTCATGAGAAAAACATGAAAAAAAGATAAGTGTGCAGAAGCTGCATAGGTGAAGAAAAGACTGGAAATCCTACATAATATGGCTTTGTCTTTAGGCTGTGCACTAGACCTTCAGCCTGCAATTCAGTTGCAGAGAGCCTCCTGAATTACTTAATCTACTAAATTTTAGTGGGACATATTTTAAGTAACTTTTCTTTGGATTAAGCAGGGCATAATAAATGCCATTGATGAAAGGAACTGGTGAATACACCTGCAGCTATAAATCCAGGGAAAATTTGGTCTGCAGCTTGCATGTAACTGTAGAACAACATGATTCTGCTTAAATACATTTGAGAAGTGATCAGACTGGTGTCAGTTTTTTGCATAGGATGGGCATGTGAAATTATTATATGAAATTTTATTCTCATTTAGAGAATATGTTTAAGCATGGAAAATGCGCTATTGGCTTAAATGAGAAATGAAGCATTGCTATGTATATTCACAAGCACAAAATCTTATTGAATTCTTGAGAAGGATGATGCAGTCTGACCAATGTTTTTAATGGAAATAATTTTGTATTTATTTTAATATGAATAGAAAATTAGACTTTCTCAGCTATTGAAATATTACAGTGAATGTTTGCTGTCTTTTTTTTTTTTTTACAGTATCGAGTCTAAATGTGATAGATTCACAGCTTAGTGTTTTTGAAACTGGTTTTACTCTAAACACTTCTGCTAATATAAACATTAGAATTTTAATCTCTGAAGTGTGAAAGTATATTTCATATCAGAAGGATAAACTTTGTAAAAATAGAATACTAGGAGCCTTCTAGTCAAATTTCATTGTAGATTAGACTCAAAATCTGATCTGTGCAAGATCACTGCTGAGCATGTTCTGACTTCTTAAACAGCTGATTTCTTTATAAGCAAGGATTAAAGATCAGGAAACCTCAGTTCTGAACCGAGGGCCAGAACCAATATTTTTCCCTTCACAGAAAGTAAAATATTGTCTTACTTTTTTGAGATGGAGGGACACAATACTAGCAAGTTATGTATACAATGCAGTAGCTTGGGCAAATGTATTTTTCAGCCTGGGAATTCAAAGTTCAAATAATAATTTTAGAAAGAGGTATTTGTATTTCTGGTTGGTGTCTGGTCAATAATTGCATTGTGGATCCTCTAATATTGGTTTTACACAGATTATTAAAAATCCCTCAGGATCTGAAGAGAGTCACTGGGTTTCTGGCCTGAAGTATATGCATTAAACAAACAACAGTCTGTGTAGGGAGAAGTACAATGCCGGAGATATGTTTATTTCATTAGCTGCTGTGAGGAATAAGATACTTCGTGCTTCATATTTTGTTGAAGTTGGATTTTGGAAGCTTTTAACTAGATTGTGTCATTGTTATATGTGTGTGATTAGTAAGCAGTGAAACAATATTCAGGTGTTTGTGTAGTGTGGTAGTGTTTGCATCTTGTCTTTGGAGTAAAAATTAGGGGATAGGGTCATATTGGCAGTTTGAATTTTCTTTTCGGTTAAGAATGACACACAGGCTAGACTGTGAGATATTTCAACAGATTCTGACACAGTGTGCTCTGTGATATGCAGGTCTAACTCCGATTTCCATTACAGTGCCACTCCAAGCATATATCCAGCTAAAAGCAAAATCTGGCTCAAACTCAAATGCTGGGATATCCCAACCAGCAGATAATTCTTTGCCAAGTATGCAGTTGTTATAGATAAAACTACTCTTTAACTAAGAATTTGAAGCATGTCACTCATTTTCTTGTTTTATTGAGCTATCCAGGCACATCCTTAGTAGTCCTGATTGACTGTTGTCTCTCTCATTCAGCCGAGTACGGAGAATACCCAATTTCATGGATCAGAAAAGATAACCTTCTACAGTGTAAAGCCCAGTGCTGGAAACAGACATTCAGGAATTTATTTCTCCACTTACACAGTGGCAGCAGCTACCTGGGATTCTGGCTATGGTTTTGGTGGGCCAGTAATGACTGACTGACTGTCAGTGTCAACGTGGAGAACAAGAATTTATCTTGGTTTTAAGCCACAGAAAAGGGTCTATCAAAAACCCCTCAAAAAACCAAAAACCAAAACAAAAAAACGCCAAAAAGCATTAAACAAGCCCCCACTATTTCATGAGGAGTTGACTGATGTCATTGATTCATTGATAGTATCTCTTTATTAGGGTTGTCTTCATCAGGATGAATTAGACCAAGTAGCAACTTTTTGCTTTGATAAAGAATTCCTGTGTATAGA